TGTGGCCGAGGAGCTTACCATCACTGTGCGTTTTGGACATGCGTGGAAGAACTGTTCCGTCTGAACTTGATAGTCTCAAAACTATAGAGGCCAAGAAAACTTGACGCCAATCACCGAAAGAGACCTGTTTGCTTTGCAATCACCCGGTCCCGGACCGTGAGGTTGTATCACTTGACGTGGTTGGTGACCAGGAAATTGTGGGCATGTCGGTCAGCGTACCGAGTACAATTGGGCGGGAGGATGAATCAGGCTGTCACCAGTGTCAGAGTCAGGCAGTGTTGCATGCTGCGCCGACCACCTGGCGAGAATGCCCCAATCTCACTCAGTGTTTTGAGCCCTGATCATCTCTGATCAGTTGGTTGCCAAAAGTACATGTGGGTCATATCAAATCAAGAGTATCCAACATATTGGAATGTGTTGAATGTGCGTCTTGCATGGGTTACGCAAACATCTCGAGATATCTCAAGACATTTATTTTGATTGCCTGTGCCTCCGCACTCTTGCAAATAACAATGTTCCATTTGCTAGGAAAACTATAGAAAATTTATTTGAATTGACGTTTGTGGGCGATGGTGCATTCCACTTTGACGGCATGACGGGGGAACCGGACCTCCGAACTCGGACTTTCTCTAGAAGCTGTGCTGAGCATTGAGGGGGCCCGTCTTTGCATCCTTTTCCAAAACAAGTTGGACATTGCATAAAGCTTATATATTTGTTGTTTCATATATGTGATTGTTAATCAATACTCTTTCATGGTGTTTCATGATGGAATGACAATTCTTCACGAAAAGCAGATATCTTTCGCGAATCTTTCGCCGCCTCATCGCGAAGCACATCTAGTTAACATTAGTTAACATGATATGTACATATTGATACATATATATATATATGTTTGCGTCACAAAAAAGATCAAAATACACAAAATAGGGACTGACATTTTGCAGCGCGACCGCAGTTGCCACAACTACTCAGAATCACTTGCAGCATGTGCGACATCTGTCGGCAAGCAGTATCCAAAGTCCTGGAGGAGGCTTGGACTAGAGTCAGGCGCAACTCAGCGCAATCCTCGTGCCAGCTACCACCACAGGGTGATGCAGCTCGGGGTATGTTGCGGGGCCTCAAGCTTGGAACCTGGACTTTAGCGGCACACTCGCAAAACTTTCGCGGGCCTTCGCAAAATTTCACTGGTAATGAAATGTGAAAACATCTGCGCAACCCATCAGAGCTGCCGGGTCGTTGCCTCACTGTCAGGGCTGCGCACGGACAAGTTAAGTTGTCAGGTTGCTAGTGTGTGACAGTGGGGACAGGAATCGGAGAATCCTTTACGCACTGCGAGGGTGAGCAAGGAAACGTTGAAGCTTCACACTTCCGCCCACCGGGTGTGCCGGAGGAGTGCCTTGTATTTCTACCACATGATATGAGCCTTCGATAAATCTTTTGCGAACAAAATATAATACTTTCGCGAACCTCATCGCGAAGCTTTCGCGGATGGATTTAACAACATCTGAAAGGCTGTGTTGTATTGATTTGTATAAATATCCGTACACAGGGATTTAAAAAACTAGACGACGAGTGGCCCAATGCATTTTTCATCACGTAGGAAGTCAGAGTGTGAGTTATCTGTTAAGCGTTCAGTGTGAAGTGTTTAAGTCGAGTGAGTTGAGGTAGTGTGTGGGTCTCTGTGTGTATCTATGTCCGTGTGTATATGAGTCTCTGTATGTGTGTGTGCGCGTCTGAGTAAGTTGAGGCAGTGCGTGGGTCTCTGTGTGTGATGTGTGTATATGAGTCCCTGTCTGTGTGTGTGTGTGTGTCAAGCCCTTGGTGCCGCAGGGGGCAGCACGGAATCCACAGTTCTGCTGCCAACGACGACAGCTGTGGCCATTCCGTGAAGCAGATTGGGACGCCAATCTGTGTACCTGCCAGGAAACTGTTGATCACGCTGTCCAATTCCCTTCTTTTGTTTCCATGGTGGTTCATGATACTCCCACAAACCATTTTCCCTCCGCCGCTTTCAGCTGCTGCGCGTTCGTGAACTGCAGATGTGCACCAAACCATTGTTGAAAACACCTACAACTCATCGGACTTTTCACCGTGCCGTTCTATCACCATTTTCCTGGAAATTGAGTTAACTGAAAGCCAATGTCGAAGTGTCCATGTCTGCTGCTGGCGAAGGTCTTCACTGCCGCTGGTGAAGGTCTTCTCAGCTTCCAGCTCCACAGATTGCTCCGCGTACTAAAGTTGTACTAGAAAGTCGCCAGTTCTCATCTTCCAGCTCCCCAGAGACTCCGCGTACTCAAGTTGTACTCCAAGGTCGCCAGTTCTCAGCTTCCAGTTCCACAGATTGCTCCGCGTACTACAGTTGCACTACAAAGTCGCCAGTTCTCATCTTCCACCACAGATTGCTCCGCCTACTATGGTTGTACTACAAAGTCGCCAGTTCTCATCTTCCCGCTCCCCAGATACTCCGCGTACTAACGACGTACTAGAAAGTCGCCAGTGCCTGCATTTCGCGCACTCGACACGCACGATGTCCGCAGAGGGTTGCGCGGGAACGGGACAAATCGCACTCTCGCCTGCACTTCGCGCACTCGACACGCACGATCTCCGCAGACGGTTGCGCGCACACTGGACAAATCGCACTCTCGCCTGCATTTCGCGCACTCGACGCGCACGATCTCCGCAGAGGGTTGCGCGCACACCGGACAGATCGCACTCTCGCCTGCATTTCGCGCACTCGACACGCACGATCTCCGCAGAGGGTTGCATTTTCGGTTGACGCTGTTTGTCCCACCCTCCGCCTTTAAGAGAGAATTTATAAAGTGGGGAAATGTTTTTCATTAGGACATCTCCCGTGCAACTTTTCCATACTCACACTTGCATACTCATTGCACTTGCATACTTGCCGTTGGATGCTTTCACTCTTCCACTTACACTGGGGTACGTATAGAAGTGTAAGTGTTCATGTTCATGTGTTCATGTTCAAGTGTAAGTGTGAAAGCGTAAATGTTCAAGTGTACGTGTCGAAATGTCAGTGTTCAAGTGCAAGTGTGGAAGTGTCAGTGTGTAAGTGTAAGTGTCGAAGTGTCAGTGTTCAAGGGATTTTCCGGAAGAACCCTTCGCAATGCTTTCGGGAAAAATAGATCAAGTCCCATATATATATATATATTATTATTATTATATACTGTATACACACACGAATCAGCTCCATGCCCACTCCCAAACGAGGCACCAAGAATTGCGGTGTGCCCTGTAGCATGGCTGTCGCCACCACCAATCGTCGAAGTGGTCGTTGTGGTCTGGCCAATGTAGGGCTGTGAGTTCACTTGTGGGTTCAGCTCGTGGTGTCGCAAGATTCTTGAACCTGCCTACTGCCAGCGGTGCCACCACAAAGTTCACTCAAACCATTGACGTTCGAGGAATCCTCAAAACAACTCCCACCGGCCGCCGGCCTCAGTCGTTTGGTTGCCGTCGGAGGTCGTCGTCATGCTAGTCGTGGTGTTCTGAACAGATGCGATGGTGAAACCTGACAGCTTGCCTCAGTCTTCGTGCGATTCAATGGTGTCACTCTAAGTATCTCTAAGACTCTAAGTTGAGATGGAATTCTCCAATTGTGGCTCCAAATCTGACACCAATTGGTGTCAGAATTGAAGTTGACACCAATTTCCCGTTCCGAAACTGACAAACTTCGGCACCACTACTTTTGATGTTCAAACAACCAGCCAATGCTATGCGTTTGTGACTTCGGTGTGAATTGGTCACACGAGTGGTCAACAACTCAACAACCTTCCATAGAGCACATTCAGTCCTCACACGCTGATTTCTTGCAGGAGCGGGCCCCGTACAGTATTGGTTGCAGGTAATCCAATCAATCCTCATCTTTGCTTAAGTCATGGATGTAAGTTAGCTGTACATCATTGGGATCTGCCGGGTCCTCGCTCACGCGCTCGTCGCCACCAAAAAAAGTTGGTTGTTGCTTGCTTGAGCGATGGTGTTAGGCAACGAGTGGACTTACAAACATTGGTTTGTACATTGCTTGATCATAAAAATTATGAGTTGCTGCAATATGCTTCACTTCACCCTGACGTTGCTTAGCTTAACATCCATTTTCTATCCGTCAACCGTTAACCTATCTGTTAACAAATCAGTTAACCTATTATATATATATCCGTTATCCTGGATATCCTATCCGTTATTACCAAAATGCAATGCGTTTGCTCATTTTATATTCTGCTGGCAATTGAAGGAAAGATTACTTTGAGTACAAGCCGTGACAAGCCGAGGAATAGCGGTTAGCTGAGTTAGCTTTGCTTTTCAACATTTGGAGATAACGAATGAGACAGCGCGGATGAAATAACGGATGAATAACGGATAGGAACTAGCTGAAGGTTGGAAGGCCATGCTGCGCTGCCACGAAATCAGCAGGCTGAAAACTATGAGCGGGGGTGTTGAGTCTTGGCCGGTGTTCCATTCCATCCACGCACCCCAATTTCAATGTTAAAACTTTGCCTTTTTCACAGTTGATGTTAAAAAGGCGTGTCAGTGCCAGCTGAATGCTCCAAGCCAAGATTGAAATTGAGGGCGCGGGAGGCACCGGCAAATTCTTGTAAGTTGTAACTTTCTATGTCGAAAGCAAACGTGAAGCTTTCCCCCTTTGTGACTGCAGATCGCTGGCGAGGGACGAACAGCGCGGCTGTCCTGGAGCCAATTCATTGGATTGGTAAGGCCTTCCAAGAGCTCGTCCTGCGACAGCAATTCAATCAATTTGAAAGACTCTCTGGCCGTCTACGGATTGCATGCGCAAACAGCAGCTTTTCCTTTGGACTATCCTTATATAGTTTGCTTCATCCAGTCCGGTGTGACGACGGCCAAATGCCACATGGCCGCATGGCCCATCAGCCCCACCCCATGAGGCCGGAAAGTGATGTCGAAGAAAGGCCGAAAGGCTTGCTGTGAATGAACAAGTCGGGGGTAGTACTACGGTATAGTGTTTTAATAGGTTTTTTGATAATGTGTCTTTCAGTTGATGTTATATCGTTTTGTCTTTTGCCTCCACATCGCATATAGTATCATAGAATATCATAGAGTATATAGTTAAGTCCAGGGCCTCCTTTTGAATCGGTCCTTGCTGCCACTCGTGGGTCCTGCATATTCAGCAGTTTCAGTCTCACCGAGATTGAGAAGGGCCACCTGAAAACAAAGGCACGGCTAACACAGCACGAAAACGCATCTGCGCTGGAAGCAAATAACTCAAGCCTACTCGTGCAGTGATTAGCAGATTGTTAGCAAGCTGTGGAGATATACAGTATAGATGAACACAAAGCAAAAATGTGGATTCCTATCACCAATTGGTGCTCTTGTGTGATTCAATTGGTCACTTGACAACGTTGATTCATTCATGGCTGATTACAGTAGTCAAAATTGTTGGGGACTCACAGTCAGTATGAAAAAAAATATGGTGCTGAGGTTGGCCACGGGTGCATAACCTGCAGACTCTGTAGACTGTAGCTGACTGCAGTAGAAGAACACCTGTAGACGTAACTTGCATATTACTTAAAACTAGCACTCATACACATATACATATTTATATATTGTATATATATATATATATGTATGTATCGCTTGTTTATCACCACCTACTTTGGCACCTGTGACTTACAGTATCATGTTTCATTCTTCGCAGTCAATGCACTTCATTGCATATTGCATATCGTGACATGACTTCGTCGCTGATTCACTGAGAAGTGCGGGAGCATGCAATGGGCTCACGTTTCAACTTCAAAACCTCCAGGACTGGGGCTTGTTCACGTAATTTCTGTAGTTGATTTGATGCCTGAAGCCGTAATTCCGATGATGCAGACAGTCTCATCTGCCGACTCACCGTCAACCCACCGAGCCTCGTCACCCAGCCTGCGCACAGCTGTGTTGCCTGAACTGCCGGGGTTCAGCTCTTGGTTGACATTCTCTGATTCTCTGGAGCTGAATCACCATTTCTCTAGGTGGAGAAGAGAAAAGCTGACTCAAAGCTTATTGTGTGGAGGATGCGCTGTGTCATTGACACGCTGGACATCGAAGAACAAAGAAGTATATAAATGCTTATAAATGTATATATGATATATGTTTAAGCAACAAACAATATTATATATTCTCACTGCTTCAATGCGAAGGCACCACCCAGTGAAGGACTTATTCACATTGGATGCAGAAATCGGCATTGCTTATGATACCCTATCTTCGGATAAAATATGAGAAAATGATCTATGAAACCGGAAGGGTAAAGCTCCCTCTCACTAAAGCCCCAACATGGGACCAACACCATGTCGAGACAGGCCATCTCAGAAGAAACATCGTCCACTTCATTCTCCAGTGATGAAAGTGCTGCTTTCACCCAGCTTTGGTTGCTACTTTTCTACTCGTTTCATCGCGTTTTCTAATCGATTCTAGGGATGCTTAACACCAGTTGGAGTCCATTGAGGTCCTGTAATCCACCACTCAGAAGCTCCGCTCTCGCGAGAAACGTCCGGCCTGGTTTGCCCTCCAAGTTGATGCCACATAGCGGGGTGGGCGACGATGGGTTTCCCTTGAATACCGTCAGGGAGACAGGAGCTGCAAAAGACCTTGCGCAAACTAGCAGATGTGTGCCGGCCGTCACATCCGGGATTCCTGCTAGATACTGCAAGTACTGAAACAGCTCAGGCAACTTGCCTTCCCAAATGAAGCCAGAAGGAATCTGTTGACTGGCTTAGGGAACCACAGCGAACAGCTGAGATGAAAAGAAATGGGGATGAGGCAAGCCAAGAGAGCCTACCTTGCTGCAAACACCAATCCTACAGTAGAAGGTAGAAGAGAGACGTTGTCAAATTGATTTGAAACTGGGTGAGCATGGGTACAAGTAGGGAGAGAGGTCTCCACAGGCCTGCCTCCTAGGCCTGAAGGTCAAGGCAACAGGTGGGAACAGGTGTATATAACCAGAGAAAGCAAAGGCAAGCTCTTGTGAAACATCGATAAACATCGGCCATGTCAAAAAAGAAACAATGGTGATTAAATGTTCACTCGATAATATTTGAGAGTGACATGCAACCATGCCTGGGCCTTTGTGAACGAAGCTTCTCGAGACAGAATAAAAACCGTTTCCATCATTCTGTCTCTGACATATCGAGCCACCCAGAGTCCGTGTCGAAGTCCGACTTCCTCAAAACCTGAGATGGGCCACAACATGAACAGCTTGGTTTGCTTGCTGGCTTGTTTGCTTCAAGACGTGCCCCTCCTCGCAAGACATTGTTTGTTACAGAGTGCTTTTCCAGATACTAGTAGCTTCTCCCCGGCCTGAGAGGAGATTTTCTCAAAATGTTCAAAGTCCCGTTTGTTTGTTTCCTCTTTCAGGCTTAACAGTTCACATCGACCGCCGTGGCACAGTTCCCTTGACAGCATCATTGACGTGCTTCTTCGCCTTGGCCTGCTGAGCGGCCTGGCGACAAACATAGGCCATAGGCCCTTTAGGCCTAACACCCTGACTTTGTAGGGACATAGGACATAGGGCAATGTTAGGAAAATCAAAAGCATCCACAAGTGCAAAGCTGTCCGCTGGAACCACAAAAACACAAAACTAGGCGAAGGGCGAAGGCCGTGCGAAGGCCGTGCGAAGGCCACACGGCTTTCCGAGCCTGAAAGTCCTTGTCCTTGAAACTTCCGTCGGTTACAGAGATGCTCTCTCCGTCCACATCCTCCATGAGAAGGATGGCAAAATCATCCTGGACATGTCCAAGAAAACTCGCTGTAAGCCCCAAGTTTGAACGAGCTCAATCGATTGATTTTCAAAAGCTTGTTCGCACGGTTGCTGAACAAACTAATTCAGAGCTTCAATTTGAGAGTGTCTCAAAGACCCATGAGAGACCTTTTACTTGGAGCATCTTGGATCTAAACATCCTTACAGAAACTAAGCCTACACATGACCATACAGCTTTTGGTGCGTTGCAACAGTGTGCCAACCTTATAGTGGTTTATTCGGCATCCTCTGACTAGGTGATGTTCATGTTCTGACCTCCACGTAAGTCAGAGGACAATCGTCCCGCCACTCCTTCTCACCATAGACACCAACGAAGGCACAGTCGCCTGATAACAATCATAAAAAGCACTTGCTCATGTGCTAGTTTCTTTTCCAGCAATGTCAATTTTCGTAATTGATCGTAATTCATATTCTCAAGACTCAAAGTACCTCCACTGTCATCCTAATTCGGCCCTTTCAAATCGATACTATCAAAAAAATACTGCACAGTCGCGGCTCCAAGAAACTGAGAGCTGCAACAAGAAGCTACTAGTAACAAGGCACGTTACTACTAAGCAAGAAGCTACTGTGAACACAGGTCACAGCAAACAACACATTTAGCTTCGCCTTGACCTCAATGCACGTACAGAAAAAGACTAACCGGCGGCAAACCGGGGTCGCCTGGGGCCAAAGAAAATGCAACACCCCACTGCGCAATGATGGCGATGAACTTCAAGACGAATGCCATGGTGCAGCTTTGGCAGAAAGTGTGCTTTTGGACAGCGATGCAGTGGAAGATGATCAAAAACGTGACTTTACTCTTTCCAGCGACTTTAAATGTTCGCAATCCTGAACAGCGAGCGACTTAGTTTTGAGCCCTGACCGACTTTCAGAACCACGTGACAAGTGCGTCAGCTCACAAACTGTTCAAAGAAGCCTGGGTCATCCGAGTCTCGCAGGTCTGGGTTTGGTCCTAGAAAGCTAGAAACCCGTTCTTACAGGTTGTTAGCAACCAAGTTTTAAGCTACCACTGAGTATTGCGTACCAAACCCGGAATTCGATTAAAACTCAAGCATATGGACAAATGCATTGCAATGAAGTTGCACGAGCACCGCACAGTTGTAGTAGTGGATGAAATGTGGGTACAAATCTGTCAGTGCTGTTGGACATCTATAAACCAGAGGGGCCAAGATGGTTTTGTCAAACCGCAGCTGCCATCTGTGAAGTTACATCAGCCAAACTCAGAGATTGTCATGCAACCCAGCTTACTTTCAGATCTTTCAGGTTCTGAGACAAGACAAAACACAAGCCGCTCATTAGCCTCAATCCCCATTCAATCACCAGGCGACATGTGCCACAAAGAGGTTGTGGCGGAACCCTGGATAGAAACAATAAGGTACTAGGAACAAGTGCATCGCTACTAGGAGCAAGGGCCTTACTAGTAGTAACAAGAAGCTAGTAGAAACAATATACAGTATATATATAATATATATATATTTTTATTTTTGCGGCAAACCTCCACGACAGCATATCCTTGCTCAGCGATCGCACCACAAAGAAAGGCTCGATTGCGGCTCTCGTTGTGCAAGTGGAATTCATCGCTGCTGCTCCAGGACTAGACTCTAGAATGCTAGTCTGGCATTTCAGTTCAAAGACAATTGAAGGTTTCAGAGCTAACGTTCTTTCTGCAAGAGACTTTGTCACCTCACGCTAGCGAAATGGTTCCCTCCATATATTTGGTAAATTTATAGTAGCGACCTTGTTCCTAGTAGTACGGCCAGGAGCTACTAGAAGCGTCATTGCTCCTAGTAGCGATGCCCTTTGCTCCTAATAGCGTCCTTGCTCCTAGTAGTAATGCCCTTTTTCCTAGCAGCGATGCCCTTTGTTCCTAGTAGCTTCTTGTTACTTATTAGTATTGTTAGTGGTCTTTTACGGCCACACCTGCCGCACAACATGGACTTGCTAATCCGACTGTGGCTGAACCACAATAGATGTTGTGACACCCCGTGTTCAGACGAAAAAAATAACTTATTATTACCAGCAGAAGTGCGTATGTCAGACTAATATATACATGATGTGTTTACTATTACGTCTGTATATTAATACATACACAAAACAAACTGCAGTACCATGCAACCGTAGAGACTTTGGCATCTTTGGCCTAGATAGATAGAACGGTTTGCAAGCAAAGCACATGGCGGTGAGTGTTGACTTCAGTCTGAATGTGGGGAAGGCACCATCTCAAACCACTGCCCTACAGCAATGAGACTAAACCAATTTTAAACTGAGTCTGGGCCTACTGTTAGGAAAGAAATAAAGGAATCTGATTGACTGGCTGCTGAGCAGCTTGTCGTCGCTACAAAGTCTCGACCAATCAAGTGTTGCACGTCACAGGGTACCGTCTGCGCCGTTGGTCAAGCTTGGAGCAAGTCAGCTGCTGAACATATTGCATACTAATACTCACAGAGCTGTTGTCAGTCATCATGTTGCAAAGACAAAACCCCGTTGGTGTCAGGAAGACAAACAAACCACGCAAGCTGCATGGGTTGTGCCCATGGGAAAGGGCATGCAATTTGAGTTTGTGGAAGCATGTGGAAGCAACAACAACAGAAATTGTGAAATGTATTTATATAAATCTATATTGTGCTCTCTATCACACAAAAAGCACGTCATCCTGTCTTTGCAGTGAATACAAGCAAGCACTATCCATGATATGTGTACACTGTTCTTGTGTTGGGACATTGTCCTTCCTTATCTTCCTTCTGGGATTGAGGAAAGGGAAATGTCAGTAGATTTACTCATGAAATAGCTTTGTCATTCAACTCTGTGAGCTGCGGGTTGCCCTTCCAGGTGTCATCGCACCCAAGCAGGCGCTTTTGTGCTTCAGGGGCAACATAGAAGCAGTCCTGAAGTGCAGGTGCAGTGCACCCTGGACACAAAAGGAGTGCTGTACGTGACAGAATGTGAAGAAAAGTTCTCAAAACATCTCAACAAACCACCAGCCCATGTATAAGCCATGGAGATGTAAACACCAAAAACTGGCAACGTGCAAACCACAATGCAATCCCTGGCAGGCCTGGAAAACATGGCTCCAATCCAGGCTGCCAGGCCACCCTACCTCACCACGCTGATCGAAGAATAGCCACCAGCAATCAACGAAGCTTGTTTCTGATCTCTTTTCCAAATTTGAAACATCCGGATGTCCATAGATGGTCGGGGCCCCCAGGGCGTTCCTCAAATTTCAAGCTAACATCTCAGTCCAAATGCATGTCGAAACTCGTTCGGGTGACGGGCGTGTCGTGTGCCAGGCAGGGCGAGCCAACTCTCGGTTCGCATCACTGGATATGTAGAAAACGTGACGCATCAAGGCCGACAACCATGGCAACTGAAAGTGTGGAAGATAGTGTTATAATGTGTCCCGGAGCCCCTAGTAGCGTCCTTGTTCCTAGTAGCGATGCCAGGAGCCCCTAGTAGCTTCTTTGCTCCTAGTAGGAAATTAGATGAATGAGACGAATTTAAGCCCTTTGCAACTGCTAAATGTTCGTAGATTTCTTCACAATACTCGTGTAGATAAACCGAATGTCAAACCGCTTGCAACCAGACTGCCAAACACTGAGTGGAATGACACAGACTGCCAAACCGCTTGCAACCGCATATAATTCAAGTGCAGTCTCAGGTGCAAAATGGCAGGTTGCCCAGGTAACCTTGGTCAATGACTTTGGCATAAAACAATTGTAAAAAATGTTGGGTTGGAGGCCATCGCCATTAGGTTGGAGGCCATCGCTATTAGGTAGGCAATGGCTAGCGGCTAGTAGGTTGGAGGCCCTTGCTATAAGGTTGGAGACCATTGCGACTAGGTTGGAGGCCATCGCTATTAGGTTGGAAGCCATTGCTATTAGGTCAGAGGCCACCGCTATTAGGTTGGAGGCATTGCCAATAGGCTGGAGGCCATTGCTATTAGGTTGGAGGCAATTGCCATTAGGTTGGAGGCCATTGCCATTAGGTTGGAGGCCATTGCTATTACAGTAGGTTGGAGGCTATTGGGTTGGAGGCCGGCTGGAGGCCATTGCTATTTAGGTTGGAGGCCAGGCCATGGCTAGCAGGTTGGAGGCCATCGCTATTGGGTTGGAGACCATTGCTATTAGGTTGGAGGCCATCGCTACTAGGATGGAGACCATTGCCACTAGGTTGGAGGCCATCGCTATTGGGTTGGAAGCCATTGCTATTAGGTCAGAGGCCGCCGCTTATAGGTTGGAAGCCATTGCCAATAGGCTGGAGGCCGTTGCTATTAGGTTGGAGGCCATCGCTATTGTTCGGTTGGAGGCCATTGCCATTAGGTTGGAGGCCATTGCTATTAGGTTGGAGGCTATTAGGTTGGAGGCCGTCGCTACTGGGTAGGCTATTGCTATTAGGTTGGAGGCCATCGTTATTTGGTTGGAGGCCATGGCTAGCAGGTTGGAGGCCATCGCTATTAGGTTGGAGGCCATTGCTACTAGGTTGGAGGCCATCGGTTTAGGTTGGAGGCCATTGCTATTAGATTGGAGGCCATTGCTATGAGGTTGGAGGCCATTGCCATTAGGTTGGAGGCCATTGCTATTAGATTGGAGGCCATGGCTATTAGGTTGGAGGTCATCGCTATTTGGTTGCGTGGCTCTGGGTCTGCCGAGAGGACCTCTGTTGCAAACCATGTTTGAGAATGTGAGTCCAAGATTTTCGTGCCAAGCAGCAGCCAAACAGAGGAATTTTGCCCCTGTTTGGCAATCAGGAGAGTCCTTGCTGCGGATCGGGTTTCCACCGTTTTGCTTTTTGAAGTCTTGAACTAGATTCTCTTTCCAATAAGGATGCTGCTTTTGACAAATATTCCGTGGCTGCTGACCACACAGCCAAACCTGCCTCACATCACGGCGAAGCCAGCGGCAAGGATCAAGCCTTGATTCTGACGACTCAAGTGGATTGACTGTATTGAGGAAACCAGGTTCCTGATGGTTCCTGAACCTTTGGCGAGGAAAAATGGCTTGATAAAAGTTCTGAGGCTGAGTGTCTGTCCCCCCTGCCACAAAAAGAAACGCACCCTTTTGATCCTTTTGATACTCTGGATTCCCAAGCAAATTTCTTCGCAGGATGTTTGTGTCATTCGGTCTCACCAGAGTCCACGAAACCGGATTGCAAAAACCAGACCAAAAGAGGAGCACTGAGCACACCATGGTCTGTGTGGCAGAGTTGGAAGAGCTGCGCAGATTCTTGGCTCCCAGGATCTTCCCGGACTGATGACATCTCAAGGAATCTGTTGAGTTGGTTGTAGTGTTCTTGCTGGTGTCAAGTTGTCAAGGGGTTCCGATTTCTGCTAGCCGTTCCAGAGCAGGTGAAGACTGGATTCCTTCTCAATTGTGCAGCAACGGTAGGGCAAGAAGCAAGCTGCTGGTGAGATTTGCATATGTACAAGCTCTCTAGATGTCTATCTTTCTTCACAAACACTCTTTGCTGAAAGTTCTGACTGCCGCTGCGGCGTGGAAAGTTCATGGCACTTGAGAAGTAGATTGGAAATTGGGATCTTTGGTCCCACTCTGTACCTCCACCCGAAAACCTCGAACCAAGCCACCGCAAACAGTGGCGTGTGCTGCACCATCCTCTTCTTCTGTGGTCATGTCCATGCTGCTGGTGGTCTGGCAGAGCAGAGCTGGGGGTTGGGCCACCAGTCCGACGAAAACGAAGGCTATTCCTGGCACTAGATGAGTCGCTGATAGTTCATTCCTGCGTCGCTTCCATTCGACATCTCTGGACTTATCCTCAGTTGTCCTTCTTGCAACTGAATTAGCTGGATTTTGAGGCATCTTGCAGCTTCATCCTAAGTTTTGCACTTGGTCATTATGTTTAATGCATTAAAAAGCAATCTACTGTAATCCTATTGTAGTGTTATGGTTTCTGCGACGGTTTCTCACTCCTGTTGTGAGTGCTCAATGAGTGCAAGCTGCTGTCTCGTACAGAACAAAGCAAGTTCCCACCGATGATGTGCTAAGAGGGGCAAACGCTAATCAATTATTTGTTTCGAGTGTGAAGTTGCTCTTGCTCCAGTACCTCTGGCCGCTGCGCAACGAAGTTACTACTGAGCATCGCTTCGGCTTTGATTCGTTCCAAGCTATGCGTTTGGCTGTCGGGGTTTGCTGCAATGAACTGTCCTGATAAGAGATGTTTGTGTGCGTGTTGCAGGTAGTCCAGTAATTAGCCTTCTGCCACTGATACTCTTAAATGAAGACTCTACTTTGCTTCACTTCAGCCTTCCATAGACACCATTTGGAGCCAGAACAACAAATCCTACAAAGCAGGATAAGCCATGACAAAGCCAAACCAATCAAACATGTTGTCCAAATTTATGTGCACTAAAGACACTATAGAGATGCTAAGATAGAAGGTGCAAAGCCAACCAGAACAATAAAACGAAATATCCACCTCAGTCGTCTCCGTGGTGTTTCCCCCCATTGAGGTCGTGGTCATCAATGTGGTGCTGTTCTGGCCCGAAGCAATGCTAAAGCCGGAGAGTTGGCCTCAGCGCCAGCAGGCGGAAAGGCACTCAGTGGCAACAGCTAGATCATACTCATTATCCCCTATGCCCACCAAAGGCCAACGGCAGTCAACATGATCAATGTACAAACGGCAAATGCTGAAGCAAACATAGCGAAATATTGTCAGAATGTCAGACATCTGGTTACAGGTCACAGGTGTTTGTGGCATGTGATTACATAAGCTCCACGTTGAGGCGATAAGGATGCAGCAAAGCTATCCTGTACCAAAGCATTGATTTGTGAAGTACTGCCTTTCCAATCTGCTGTTTTGCATAAAGGTCTTATCATGGACAGTGCTGGCAAATTGTGTCGTAGCACAAACAGCACAGCCAGCCCAGTTCATTTACGTGGCAAGGGGCGAACAGCTCGGGCATCCCGCAGCCAATTCAACGGGTTGTGAATGCCTTCCGAGAGCTCTTCCTGCGCTGAGTCGAAGCTCGAAGGATAAGTTTGTCCAACTCAAGCTATCAGACCGAACCCCGGGAAGATATCTATGTGTTCGGCTTGCAGCAAAGCTTGGGATCGGCCCGGAACATTCCTCTGTTTGTTGCAAGTTTTGGACCGATGCGGTCTGATCTGTGGAGAGACATGTACTGTCCCAAGCTCATACTCAGGGACTCAGCATTTGCCTTGCTTTCAGGCTTTATGCGTACATGCTTAGACTTCGTCAAACTTGACAACAGGGCATTGCTTGCGAAGTGCTGGATCTGGATGACCAGAAGTGGGCCGCCCTGCTACTCTCGATCAAATAGGCAGTTGAAACAGTTGGCTTAGTCTCTCAAACTCAAACTCCCTCCGTTCAACTTTTTGTGGACCGTCCTTGCTGCCAGTCATGAGTCCTGCATATTGAGCAGTTTCAGTCTCGCCAAGATAGAGTGCCGCCACCTGAAGCCACCAAAGGCGTGAAATGTAGCGGTGTGCTATCTGATCGCTCCTTTTTGTGATTGTTCCAGGACTCCTGCATTTTTTGCATATTGATATGTAACTGTAACAATGTGTATATATATATGTGTGTGTATGGTAGTTTGAAGGACACCCATTGAGGACGAAAATGATAAGAATTGAAAATAAAGAAGTGTACTCTCTATATATATATATACATATATATATATATGTATATATATACACAATTATACACATATTGAGATTGCGGGACTTGGACTCGGTACTGCGGACTTTGCCTCCTGAAGGCACCACAAGAGGTAAATACCTTCCTGGAACCAGAACCAAGATTCCTGCCAAGCTGTGGAATCTTGGTTCTTGGTTCCAGGAATGTACTAGTGCGTTTTAGTACCTTGCTACTCCAGTTCTGTATAGAACTTCCCTAAACAAGGAACCCAGATTTCCCGTTAGAGTTAGAGTTCACCGGACTCTTGCTTCTTGGTTCTTCGTGTGTATTAGTACATCTGGTACGCTCGCGCTCGCAATATTGAATTGTCAGATATGTCAAGTGTTAATTTGTTGTCATTCATGAACATAATCTCTTGCCACCTCAAGCGAAAACACCTAGCCCAAAAACTCCTAAGTATCTCAGAGTCAAATACCTGCCACTGCAGAAATGCATACTGGTATGAACCTTGTATCATGTCTCAAACTCTCTAAGTTGGGCTTTGGCGTATTTGAGATTTGCTTGATTTGGGTGTGATAGTGAACAATATTTAATATAATAGCAAGGGTATTGTTTCCCTAAGATCGTATTGATGAACTTAATGCTTGGAAATAGACATTGCTAACCAATGCTAATCATACATATATGAATGCTTCTCTTGGACAAGCTATGGGCGCTGCTGCCTTCACACTTCACAGGGTTGTCTGTAGGGGGTCATTTGTGACACCCAGTATGATAAAGTGACTGCAAGTCCAATCATCTTCGCTGAAGCTAGCCCAATACCGTATGCATGAAATATTTCCGGAGGATACTGTACATGTAAAGTGCAAAATGTTGTAGTAGTTGCTCCTGGGAGGCCGGATTGTCTGAATCAGTTGAACCATATAATAAGTTGTCCCATGTTGTCCCTACATGATTGAAGGCTTGCTGAGTGCAAGGGCGAACATTGCAACAAATAAGAAAACTAATGGTGTAGGGGCTATTCCGCAAGTTGCATTAATAGCAAATTGGATGTGCCTGGTCATGCAAAAAACTGCCCATAGCACGCATGGAGTCGGTCTGATTGGCACGTGTTTTTTGTATGAACTAAGATCACTACATGCCGAGTTTGCTGTGTATGTACAATGTACAGTACCCTGCGGTTATGCGATGTGTTTTCTTCATATCCCTTGTAATGTAGTTGGTTGCTCGCACCTATATCTCTGGATGCGTCAACTTATTTCAAGAGAATCGTAGTCTTCAGCAGTTTCACTCTCTATACTCCATATACCTCTCAAAGATATTGCATTACTTCAAACGTTGCAAACAGTAACAAAGAACCTGGAGGCTGGAGGCTACTCAGATTGCGGCCACAAAAATAAATTGCAGTAGAAATGTTGTGGTTGTGACATTGCAAAAACGCTCTAGTCGTCTGATATCTTGACATATGCACTGCATAGTATCCAGCATTTCTTCAATTTAGTGCAGTCGATGAAGAAAACACAAGTACATACAGGAAACACTAGACGACGAGTGGCCCGAAAGCATTTTTCATCACGTGTGACGTTAGAGTGTGAGTTATGTGTTAAGTGTTCAGTGTGAAGTGTTAAGTCGAGTGTGTTGAGGAACCCTCCCTCTCCAAGCACGCGCACTATTTTTGGAAGACCACCATTGCAGGGGGGGGATGCTGCAGGGCTGGCAGGTCAGCACCTGCAGCAGAGCCCCCCCATAACTCACCCAAACTGAGCGTGGTCCCTCCAAGCACCAATCTGTCATCCACTCCACTCAAAGCGTGCTGGGCAATTAGGCTAACATGGTAGCCCCAAGATTGAATAAGTTCAGCCAGCCCGGGAAAAGCTGCTTTGATTTGGAGAGCTGCGCCCAAAAGGAAGGGTCTCGCATTGCTCCGCGTGATAGGATGTCAGCCCACTCATTTCGGACGCCAGCAACATGAGAAATTTTCAAGGTGATCCGCTCTTTTAAGCAGAAAAGCGCAGTACTCTGCAGCACACTAGCCAGCGGCTGTTTCATGGACAAATGCTTTGCTGCGCTGCACACATACTGATATTGTCGCACTGTTGACGACGAGAAATTCTCCCCATCTTTGCTTCCAAAGATAGTTGCGACCGCTGGCACGACAAAAGGATCAACTGGGCTAGGGCCTCCAAGGCTGCAATGGCCGATTGCAAATCACGCAAATCGTTTGTAAACCAAGCTGGTAAAGCAGCCCATTCTACTTCGCAGGAAAACCAGAAGTTTTTGGACGGGTGGAGCTCTGCACCCTCTGGCAGGAACCAACCGCCCACACCAGCCCGGGTCCCTTCTGCATAGGCATCCGCTGCCGCCGCAACGCAGGGACCGGGGAGGTCAACCAAATGCACCGGCGCATCCTCTTGATGTTGAAGCAACCGCACGAAAAACCGGGCCACTGCAAGCTCTTCAGAGGATAAGCAAATCTCTGCTGAACCGTCTTCACCAAACTTTAGCCAGGCTTGATCACGCTTGAGGGGCGCACACAATATGTCAGCCCGGTTTTGTACCGCGTGGCCACCAATCTCTAGCACTTTCCAGCCAACCTGAATATCACAAAGACAAAGCCGGGGAAGGCGGGATACCCTGCAGTCCCTATCCAAGCAATGATACAAATCTTCCAGCTGCTCGCGTTGTGACGATTGAAAGCGCAGTCGCACTTTGCCCAGCATATGAAACCAAACTTGCAGCCAGGGTTTTAGCCAAAAAGCTCCTGTGGTGTACCACACAAGACGCCCCGCCAGGGTTTGTAGTTCTTTCCGGTTCACCCTGCGGAGCGTTGCACAAATCTGCTGCAGACTGCTAAGCATGGCCTCAAGCTTTGACGCTGGCAAGAATGCGCTGGGGCAGCCCTGAAAATGCAAATCCCAGCCTATCCAACTTAGCTGGTCGCCAAGGTCAACTTTGTGCCAAGATAACGGAAAGCCAAGTACACAGGCCAGGGTCAGTAGCTGGCAGGCCATGGGGGCTGCTACCCTGCGCGGGAACAATGCCAATGCGTCGTCCACATAGACGCAGAGGAAGTGACTGTGATGTAAGAATCGATGTGCTACACGGATGAAGGCAGCAGCAACCCTGCTCCACCAATACGCCGCCCAAGCACACCCAAAATGGCAGGTTTTGTAATAGACCCACTTTGTAGCCCCGCTGCGGTCTTTGACACAAAATGCGCTGAGCCCCTGTTCTGCCGGGCGTACCTTGACCCGTTCATGCGCCTTGCTGAAATCAAGGCTGAACGCTAGCCACGGCTCCTGAGGGTGTCTAGATAGGAACTGGGCCACGGCGCTGAGCGTGGGCAGTTCGATGCGCTCTTTGACGCGACACTGGGCATTGGCACCAGACACACTGCTGTCTCCTGTCAACCGTGCAGCTGCTCCGGCTTTCTGCACTATCCCTAGTTTGCCCGCGGCAACCAGTGACCCAAACCGGTCTTTAACGGCATCCACCCATTCTGCGAAGCCCTCATCCACATCTGCCTGTACAAGATCAGTGAGTAGCTCTGGATTGTCTAGGCCCGAGGCCCACGGCTTGTGCAAGCAGCCCAGGCAAGGCTACGTCCAAGTCATTCCAGACTTCTAGGCATCCTTGTAGGAGAGTCAGACACAGCGGCTGCCCGGCACAAATCTCCGCGCTGGCCGCAACACCTTGACTTTTCAGAAAACATGCCAATCACGGCGAAGTATTTGCACTTCTTCCTCGCTCAACCAAGGAGTGCGCGCGCGAGCTTGCACATGGACATCAAGTCTTTGCACCAAGTCCCACTCTTGAATGCGCTGCCACCACTGCTGTCTTATGGCGCTCCCGAGGCTGGCCTCTTGGGGCTGGAACCAATCGGCCGTGGAGATGATGCCACCACCGTGACGCAGCTTGAAGGGAAGGCTCAAGGCTCTTGCTCAACCATTTGCTGCACTGGCGGAGGGCTTGGCCTCAAATTAGCAAGCTCCACCGCTTCGCGGAGTTTGACGACCCCTATAGTCACTGATGTGATTTTTTGCTGCACGCTCCCGAATGGTGGTCGGGTGAGCCACATGTAGCACATTTGCGCTTAAATGCGCATTGCCGCTGCTTGCGCTCCCCGGCAATCCATTTGAAGCATTCACCGGTGGGCCGGCGCTTGTCTGTCCCACCACGACTTGACTCCAGAGGCTGCTTACGCTGTAAGGGCTCACGCGGCTCACGACTTGGAGGCTTTTCAATTTTGGGGCGGGGCATCAACAAGGAACGCAGCATGTCGCGATCAATGGTCACTGTGCTCAAAGCGTCATCTAAGCTGGCACCCGAGTAGCAGAGCCCAAACACTTCTCGCACGCCGCACTGATCGGCCTCCTCAGCTTCCTGCGCTGTGCAAAACCGGAAGTGAGGACCGGGCTCATTGGTGTAAAATTTCATGAACCGAGAGTTGTACAAAGCCCAGCTGCCCAGATGACCAGAGCCAACCATGGCATAGGCGCGCGCCCGCACTTGCAGCAGCTGCATGATGGGGTAAGGGGCATTGGAGATGTCTCGATCCAGGACCTCCTCTTGAATGTGGCAGTTCGCCAGTAAGGCTTCCAAAGAGATTGCACTCAAAGTCAACCACCACTACACCTCAAACAAATGGGCCACTTCTGATAAGCATTCGTGCAAGCTTATATTGCAGCGCGCAACGCCAGCAGCAAACACTCCAGCTTGCAGTAAGCACCTGCATGGAGGTGAGGGTTTGTTGGTTTACCTTGCAGGCAAAGCTGTCCCAGTGTGTGTGTATCTATGTCTGTGTGTGTGTCTCTCT